GCATGGGTTTCTATTGTAAATTTGTAATTAATATACGCAAATAAAAGTCATTGTGTGATTGTAAAAAATGGATAGCTGATTATGAATTGTCTAATTATAAGGAAGTAAATAAAAATTTTCTGTTAATTTCTTAAATTGGAGAATAAAAGAAGCCGGTGAATTGTAATTAATCTGTTATACAAAAAAAAATATGTTGTTTCTTCAACTTTATAAATTTTTAGTTTAAAAATTTTTTATTTGCTTAAAAATAAAATTTTTTTAAATAAGAATAAAAATTTTTAAAAATTTTTAAAAATGTAATTTGGAATAAAAACTAGAAGGGAAGGGGAAAAAAGAAGAAAATATCAACATTGTAGAGGGATTTTTTTTTTCCCTCTTAGGGGGTTAAGTGTTACAAAATAGAAATTAGAGGGTAAAATGAGAAACATGACATACCTTAGCAAGATAAATGGCAATTAACCCCTATTATTAATTAAATAAATTTTATAATACTGACAGTGCATACACTCTCACAGTTAGATTCATGATACGTGTGCAAAAATTAAATTTTAAATTTAAATTTTATATAGTTATCATTAATACAATGCTGATAGTATATACATTGTCAGTATAGGAAAGATTATCCTTATAAATTTATTATGTGATCTTAACTTCGAAGGCGAAACTAATAACGGTCGTACATGAGCCATTAATTAAGAACATCTTTAGCTTAAACTCTGACAGCCACTAAGTTTTTAAATTCCATACTTATACCCCTGAAGCAAATGTTTTGAGTTTATCTCTAAAAGGACTAACAGATTAGGTGAATGGCCATTTTCCTTTTTCCCATGTCTTTGCCACCACAATTTATTGTCCCGACAACCATTCAGATCTTTACAGATTAAAGGGCTCCAGCATTTACTCGATAAAGATGAAGGCCCCAGCAACAGGAATGATTAAGAAAACTCACGTGAAAATGCCAAGCAACTTCCAATGCGGAGGCATCCGATTCCAAGCTCGCCGACGAAGCATTGCAACTACACGACCGGAGAACTCTCAATTGGTCACATCATGAGCCTTTTTTTTTCTTTGTGAATAGAACATAATACTGGAGGTTGAGGTGGAGCAAATGCATCATTCAAGTTATTCTTGGCCAAAATTCATTCATCATTTTTTAAAAGGCTCCATGAAAGTGAGCTCGACATTCTTGGTTGTGTGTAAGTTTAAAAGGCTCACTTCTCAGAAATTTTACAATTTAATCGAAGTACTTCATATCTCAAGATACCATTGATTCTTATTTTGTCTTTTCAAAAATAAAAGTTCACGTAATTTGACATCACAAGCCTGATTACTGAGACACAAAGGCAAGCATAAGTGTTTTACATGGTTTTCAAATTAAGAATATTTTATATATTCCCCAAAAAATCTAAAAAAAGAAAAAAAAACTTCCTTTCTTGCTTGAACAATTGCATTGTAACGCATTCTATTGTTGGGCCAATTAAGCCTCATGAACGAGACACGAAGGTCATTGTCTCTGAGTAAATTTCCAAATCCAGCTGCCTTTTGAAGCTAGTTCCCAAAACTTGAATGTTTTTAAGTAAGGAACGCATTCGCTATATCCAATGTTTAGAAATTTAGAAAAAATTATAGTTTTACTCCTTACTGTTTAGTCTCTGTGCAGTTTTAGATCTTGAAGTTTCGGCAAAAAGTAAATCTAGTCGTCAATGTATAGTATATGTACAGTTTTAGTCCCTAAAGTTTTGGCAAGAGCAATCCGATTTTCAATGTCACCAATTTGAAGCATTTTAAGGACCATTGCTAAATTTTTTTAAACATTAATCAAATCAATCACTTGCGGGTGCAGTCACATATTTGTTGAAAAACTTCTTAAAAGAGAATCAAAGTAATGAGTAATCTTTAACAATAAGAATAATTGGCATGCTAACACATTAGTCACTAATTGCTCAAGAGAAAAGAAAGACAATTTCTTAATCTACACTAAAAATTAGGAATCACAATTTTTTTTTTACTTGGAGACACTAGAGATAGTTAGTGAAAATGAATTCTAGATCGATGAACACTTCGTATATTGAAGTTTTAGTTTAAAAAGTTTCCTTCTTTTTACTGGTTAAATAGTTAACAAATGAGTTCTTAATTTTGTTGCTTAAAGTTAGCTACTATTTTGCTTCTTTATTTTGAAATTTAATTTAATAGGCAATTGACCAGACATGACTAAATTTTGTTAGTAATTGAGATAAAATTCTTCAAATGTCCTAAATCAGCTTTAAATTGAATATAAACGGGACCAGACTTGCTCTTGCTATAACTTTATGGACTAAAACTGCACATGTACAAAATATTGAGGATCACGATTGCTTTTGTTAAAACTTTATGCCTACTAAAACTGAATATTAAGAATTAAAACAATCATTTTGTTCAAAAATGAAAAATTTATGAAAAGTGGCATTCAGCAAATGCAACTCTTCTACAATTATGATTGGTCCAATGGTCAAGAGCAGCCGACTCTTCAACTCTTTTAACGCATTCATCATTGTGTACAAAAGCAGCCAACTGGCAAAATAGGTACTACATTGACAATAATGGCGAACTTTTTGGTCTCTGGTTTCTTACGAGACGGAGTAACCACCCCAGCGTCAACCACTTGGCCAATGCATGCTTCAGTGGCCTCCTTCCTTGGACTTACAGTGAAGGTTCGAACCTTACTTGCAATGAAAAAAATCGAAAAATTATGTCATAGTATTCATGTTTCTTTAGACTCCCTTTCCAGCCCTCTCCTTCGATTAGAATAGAATAGATTATATAAATATATCATTGTCCCAGTGTCAATCATTGGGGCAATGATTCAGTAGCCACCAGGGAGGGACTTAAGTCCCTCCTTGAGCTGTAGGTGAGGTTTGAACTCTCATCTGCAGCGAAAAAAATCGAAAAATTGTGTTATAATACTCTTTTAATTTAATTGAATCTGTATATTCACTAGTTCTGACCATAGCCTTCTTAGATTCCTCCTTTCCCTAGATTAGAATAAAGTAAATTATACAAATGTGTCGTTACTGTTAAAAAAAAAAAAAAAAACCACCCCAGCAGCGTGGTCATTTGTAAAACCAAGAAAATGCCAAGCAACTTCCATTGCAAAAGCATCCAAATTTCCCATTGAATTGGAGCACCCACGGCACCGCACTGATCGAGGCCCCCTGATGTCTTTTCAAGTATTCTACCGGAACAGCTGATGGCCGCCTCCATTGACCGACAAAATTTGTCACGGCCGACAAAATTTGGTCTAAGCTTTCGTACAGCTATTCTTTATCAAATCATGCAACATATATTTATTTGTAAACCAGACTCTTGGTGCCCTCTTTTTCCTTCAAGATCAGGTAACCTCCTCTTCTATTCATAGTTCCTTCATTGTATTATGGATACATTGGCAAGGGGCATATGATGGAATTCATTTTTGTCATATGAATTTTCAAAATTCCTTAATGAATTAAATTTAAAATTTCACATGTTTTAGTTGTTTCTTGGTCTTCAATAATTTTTTTTCAAAATTATCCCTCTTCAATAATATCTAAGAATCTGGACAAGTAGGATGAGAGATTATGATGTATGCATTTCTAGGGAAGTTCGTTAATTTGCATTTGGATCAAAGTTTAAACAAGTTGGATAATTGATAATTTATTCCCGTTGAATCATCTTAGACATCAATTTATGCTGCACTTAGTACTGATCTTAATCACTTACAACCATGATCAGATTATAACCAATTAATGGCTTGACATAATCACTCACAACAACCTTTGCCGGTTCTTTTAGTTGGAGTAAGGCAGCATACGACATGAAATAATTGATTTGTTTCCAACTAGTAGTGGGTGGCAAACTATGATCATATTTTAAGGACTTCGTATATACAGTAAGGTGGTCTGATTTGCAACAAATTTATTATTTTAGTTACCTACTGACTCATAAAAACAAATACACTAACATTAATACTTTTAGATGGATAAGAAATCACACGAAGATTCAAATCAGTTTCACATCCAACAAAAACAATGACAATTAGTTGGTGTTGACGTTATTTGCCATGTAACAAAATTGATCATGCCTCAAAGGATTTGTTGCACAAATTATGTTGAATGACCCATTGGGTATCGATCTAAACAAAGTCAGAATGTGCAAAAGGAAATATTGATACAACTTAGAACAAATTAGATATGTTGACTCAACAAACATTGACAAAAAATTCCTAATTTTGGCCAACTTGGATATATAAACTTAAGTGGTGATGTGAGGTGAAAAATTAGGGGCAACATGGTGGAACACTGGTCTAGGGGAATTATATGATAATTATAGTTTAGATGGAGTAAATTAATAAGCTCTTGACTTAAACCTGAAGGTGTTTAAATTTCCTTTGGCTTAAAGGCGTTTAAACCCGAAGCTGTTAGTTTTGTTGCAATTATTTACTTTAGAAGAACTTTTTAATATAAGGGCACTGTTGTAAAAGTAACAAGGTAGACAATCCTTTCCTCTCACTCCTCCCAAGTCTCAAACAAAACCAAAAAAATCATTTCTTTTCTTTTCTTTTTTAAGTTCCCAAACAACATTGAAGGAAACTTGTCTAAATTAATTAGTCAAACATTCTTTATGTTCATATATATATATGAGTAAAATCCAAGGTTGTGTGAAATTTAAAAAATTTAATAATCAACAGTTCTACAATTTGGACAAAGAATCTCAAGATTTCATTATTGAGAACACAAACCTCACTATCAAGACACTAAGGTGACCATCCGCTACACCTCTCAAAATTTCTACTACACAGGAAGCAAATTAACTGGTTTAAAAAGAGGGGTCTGTTTTTGTTTATTAATTTTCGCTACCTTAATTCCCTAATTGAGGAATGATCTGATAAAAGTTTCACCACCTACTCTTTTTTTTTTTTTTTCCCCCCGGAAACGTTAGAAGGTAACAGTTTCACCACCTACTCAGATTGCTACAATTTATGAGTTCCAATTTTCTTTTCATCCAACCACAGTGGTTTAATTTCTTCCACACTTAAGGGCCCCACCAGTGACTAAGTCAGATTGCGCTAAAATTATTTTGAGGTGACCCCACACAATTTGATTAATCGCAATTATACTAATCTGAATCTCACACGTCAACCAACTGGAATCGTTTAATCATCTCTCTCTTGTTCTGACTGGCTTCTATTCTGATTTCTGCCAATTGTTGCTGAAACATTCCTTCCATCTCTGATATCAGAAAACCTTTCGATCCAAGTTCCAATTCCAAGCAAGAAACAATGGCTGACGCTGTTATCAGTGCTACTGTTGAGGTCGTCTTGGGGACACTTATTTCCATTGCTGCGGGCCGCATTGGTATGGTTCGGGAGGTCGAAGCGGAGTTGGAGAGACTAAGCAACACTGCTGCAATGATCCGAGATTTCTTGGCTGATGCTGACGGGAAAATGCATACCCAAGGGGTGCGACAGTGGCTCAAGCAGCTAGAAGATGAGGTTTTTAAAGCTGATACCGTGCTAGACGAGCTCAACTACGACAATCTTCGTCGGGAGGTGAAGTACCGAAATCAACCAATGAAGAAGAAGGTATGCTTCTTCTTCTCCTTCTTTAATGCAATTGGCTTTAGTTCCAGCTTGGCTTCAAAGATCCGGGACATCAACACCAACCTAGAAAGGGTCAACCAGCGAGCCAATGAGTTGAGATTGACCAAAAAGCAGCAAAAAGAAGCTGCACTCCCTGCTGATGCCGCTGGTGCCAGACAGACCGACTCTATTGCCGTTCCGAACGTTGTAGGAAGATCCGGCGACGAGTCAAAGATTGTGGACATGTTATCGAGCCCATCTGAAAAGGTTCTTTCTGTTATTCCCATAACAGGCCCGGGAGGTTTGGGAAAGACAACTCTTGCTAAATCAGTCTACAATAATCGAAAATTAGATGGGCACTTTGGCCAAAAAATTTGGGTTTGTGTGGCTAAAGAACACATTAAGATACTGGAGCTGTTCAAGCTCATTTTAGTACAATTGACACAAGACGAAGTTAAAGTGGATGACAGAGAGGTTATCGTTAAAAAAATTGAAGAAAAGCTCAAGGGAAAAAAATATTTCCTTGTTCTTGATGATGTGTGGGATCATGATCAAGGATTGTGGAATGATTATTTCAACACTTTGATGGGACTCAACGAAACCAAAGGAAGCTGGTGTCTTCTCACTACTCGTCTACAACCAGTGGCTAATGCTGTGCCTAGACATTTGCAAATGAATGATGGTCCTTATTCCCTAGGAAAGCTATCAGATGATGCATGCTGGTCCATCATAAAAGGAAAGGTGATAAGTGCAGGCGAAGAAGTACCAGAAGAATTGGAAGCATTGAAGGAGCAAATTTTAAGGAGATGCGATGGCCTACCCTTGGCGGCAAGTTTGATTGGTGGCTTGATGCTTACCAACAGAAGAGAGAAGTGGCACTCCATTGTGCAGGAGAGTCTTTTGAATGAATATCAAAGCCAAATTAATCAAATACTTAAGGTGAGCTTTGATCATTTATCATCTCCATCAGTTAAGAAATGTTTTGCATATTGCTCAATTTTTCCCCAGGATACTCAATTACGAGAAGATGAACTAATTCAGCACTGGGTTGCTAAAGGTTTTGTTCTAAAGAATAATAGAGTGATGGAGGAAACAGGAGGCGAGTATTTGAGGATTTTGTTGCAAAATTCCTTACTGGAAAAAGTCCAAGAGCCGCTGTGGGAAACATATTATTATAAAATGCACGATCTCGTGCATGATTTTGCAAAATCAATTCTCAATCCAGAAAGCAGCAATCAGGATCGCTACCTTGCATTGGACTCTTCTAAAGGTTTGGAAGAAAATACCACAAGGACAATACCAGCATCAATTCGCACGTTATTTCTCCATCTAGAGGGTGGCGTATCTACTGACATGCTTTTAAGATTCAAGTGCTTGAATGTTCTCAGATTGTCCGGCGATGATGTCAAGTTTCTGCCGAGCTCCATTGGCAAACTACCAAGTTTGCGGTTGCTCGACATTAAATCTTCTAGAATCAGAAGTTTGCCGGAATCTCTTTGCAAGCTATATAATCTGCAGACACTAACTGTGAGAGATTATGCACTTGAAGGAGGTTTTCCAAAACGGATGAGCGATTTGATTAGCTTGCGGCATCTAAACTACCACGATGGTGATGCGGAATTGAAAATGCCGGTGCAGATGGGACGATTGACTCGTCTTCAAACTCTGGGGTTTTTTAATGTAAGTCAAGAGAGGGGTCGTGGTATCGAAGAGCTTGGGACCTTGAAATATCTGAAAGGATCGTTGAGGATAAGAAATCTTGGACTAGTGAAGGGCAAAGAAGCAGCTAAACAAGCAAAATTGTTCGAAAAGCCAAATCTGTCTTACTTGGCGTTTAGTTGGGAGAGTGGGGATCGGGCAAGCGATAACCGTGATGAGGATGTGTTGGAAGGTCTCCAACCTCACCCAAATTTGCAAAGGCTGGGAATTGATTCTTTTATGGGTAATAAATTTCCACAATGGCTTATCAATTTGTCAAAATTGGAGGAATTGGTGATAGAAGACTGCCAGAGATGCAGCGAACTCCCCTCATTAGGACAACTGCCATCCCTCAAACGTCTCTATTTGATAAGATTGGACAACATTCGATTTATTGGAGATGAATTCTACGGTATTACTGCTAATGAGGAGGAGGAGGAGGAGGGCAGATCACGAGCATCAGGGAGCAGCACTAGAAGGCGAAAATTCTTTCCTGCCCTTGAAGGACTCTGGGTAATACGTATGGGGAATTTGGCAGAGTGGAAAGGTGCAGACCAAGTGAGGTCAACAGTAGGTGAAGCAGAAGCAGACGTCTTTCCCATGCTGATGGATTTTCACATTGTAAGTTGCCCACAACTGACCACTCTTCCATGCTCGTGTAAAAGTCTACACGTGGAGAGTTGCGATAATCTAACAAGTATAAAAATGGGTTACGGCGCTGCTTCTGTTGAGGAGTGGTGGATCGACTCTTGCGACAATCTTAGGGAGCTGCCAGATCTGGATCTGTTTGGATCGAGTTTGCAGCGATTGACCATCGCAAGTTGCCCAAGATTAATTGACCATCACTTGAAGGAGGAGATTTCAAGTGATCCGGTGAGATTTTCCTATCTAAAGTTCACACGCATATATATGTGTATAAATTTTTTGTATCTGCATCTCATTGACGTATATTTGCTCTTCAGTCTCTTGTACTCTTTTTCTCCATCTCTTTTCTGCAAAGTTATTCTCTGTAATTCTCTTCTTTTGGGCAGACCTTGGTTTCTTTTCAAAGATTAGTTTTAACAAAGCCTGGTTTTGAGCAAATAGGAAGAGACCAAAATTCTGGATTTTCTCTGCATCTCGCCATTGAAAGATTTTGAACATCTTAAAAACTCAACTTGTTACCTTCTATTTGGCCAAGAACGAAATTATTTGCAACGGTGCATACACAGTTAGCCTCTTTGTTTGAATGTGTTAGCAAATGTTTCATTGCATGTGCAATGCTAGATGTACATGGGAGCATTCATCATTTTTCTGTCACCGATATTGCCAGTCTGAATGGACAACATTAAAGCTAATCAAGAAACAACTGTGAAGAAAATTCAAGATGCAATTTGCTATTCTTTGGGACTCTGTGTTCTTATTTCTATATCAGTCTCCTTGAAGTTCAAATATGTTTGTTGATGAACTAGAGTGCTGCAAACCTTCACCCCTCACAATTGGTGATGCATGCTTCATAAGAATGACAATAATATGGGATGGTTGTTTATCATCTTTCAGAAGTTTGAGAAGTTTGTACATCACAATTACCTTGTTTTTTTTGTTCTGTGAGCTGAATTACTATATTGTTACCTTGTCTAGCAGTGACCGAACAAGAAGGCAATAATGGTGCTCAAACATTAGTTTCATGTTGATTCCCATCCTTGCTGAAGAAGGAGAAACCAGAAGGTATGATGGTTCTCAAACATCAGCTTCTCTCCCCAAGAACTCTTTTTAACCTCCGCCCAATTTATTAAAAATACAAGGAAACTAGTGCAAGTTTTTATCAAAGTATGCTTGAGTCATGCAATTTGCCAGAAAACAGGGTGTTTTTTTGTACTTTCATGTACTTTTGAACATTTGTCCTGTGCTATATAGCTTAGTTTTTAATCTTTAAGATTGTACATTTACTAGGTGCTTAACATGTCATTTGATTGTGAAAGAAGCTGGTTTATTCCATTTTCTTGTACTGGTTACTAGACCATACCTTTTCTTTGCATTCCTTAGCTGTCATAACTGAAGTCATACTGAAGTGTAACATTACGATGGTATTTTCCAGAGTCTTAGAAAGCAGACCTCATGTTGTTCGACAAAGACACCACCCTTTGCTGTTGCATTTCTTACAAGAGTGCCAGGGGGCAGAAGTTATTTTCACTGACTAGATAGGTTTGAAGATGAAGTTAGTAATCAATGATGAGAATTTTGCACATCAGAGAGTGCTAGCTTTGACGGAGGCTTCACCAATAGGTAGTTCTCCCCAGGTTTCCCAAACATAAGTTTTTGCTCATCTCCTGCTCGGGGTGTAGAAAGAATGGTAATAATTTAGCTTGTTCATCTTCAGGCAGTTTTCATAGCTTTTTTATCTGCATTCTTGATATATATTTAGTAAATAAATCACCAAAACATTTTTTTTGCCCTTTGGTGTAGCATGCTGATCGCTGAACAAATTGGAAGAGACCAAAATTTTGGGTTTTCTCTGCCTCTCTGAACCACTGAAAGATTTGAACATCTTAAATCTCTTTAACTTCAACTTGTTACATTCTATTTGGCCAATGTCAAAATTACTAGCAATGGTTCATAGCCAATTAGCCTCTTCGTTTGAATGTGCTACAAAATGTTTCATTTGATTTGCAATGCTAGATGTACATGGACATATTCTTCATTTTTCTGTCACTGATATTGCCAGTCTCAATGGATAACATTTAAGCTAATCGAGAAACGATTTTCAAAGAAAATTCATGACACAATTTGCTGTTCTTTGGGACTCTGTGTTCTTGTTGCCATAAAATTAGACCAGTCTAATTGAACTTCAAATATGTATGTGGAGGAACTAGAGTGCTGTGAACATTCACCCCTTACAATTGATACTGCATGCTTCATATCAATGACAATAATTTTTTTTTTTCATGACAATAATGTTGGATAGTTGTTTATCATCTTTCACAAGTTTGAAAAGTTTATACGTCACAATTGCCTTGATTTTCTGTTCAGTGAGCTGGATTACTGTATTGTAACCTTGCATATGAGCAATGCAAGGAATGATGGTGCTCAAACATCAGCTTCGTGTTGTTTTCCATTGCTGCTAAAGATGAAGAGCTCAGGAGGTATGTGGTGCACAAAAGTGATAATCCAGCACTTCTCTCCCCGAGAACTCTAAGTTTGCATTCTAATATGCTTAAGTCATGTAATTGGCATGAAAACAGGGTGTTTTGCTGCACTTTTGTTTGTTTTTGAATGCTTACCCTGTGCCACATAGCTTATCTTTTGCTCTTGAAGATTTTTATGTTTATTTGGTGCTTAACATGTGTTATGATTGTGAAAGAATCTGGTTTTCAATTTTCTTGCACTAGTTACCAGTCCATACCTTTTCTTTGCTTTCATAATTTGCCATGATTGAAGCTGTTCTGAAATGTAATATTATGATGTTTATTCCAGAGTCTTAGGAAGCAGACCTCATGTTATTGGAAAAGGACACCACCGTTTGCCGTTGCATTTCTTACTAGAATGCCAAGGGACAGAAGTTATTTGCATTGAGGGTTTGAAGATGAAGGCAGTAGTTATCAATGATGTTAATTTAGCTCATTAGATAGGATTAGCTTTGATGGATGTTTCACAAATAGTTGGTTCTCCCCAGGTTCCTCAAACATAAGTTTTTCGGTTTCTCCTGGTCAGAATGCAGAAAGGAAGGTAATGATTTAACTTGTGTGTCTTCAGGGCAGTTTTTATAGTTTCTGATCTACTTTCTTGATATGTATTTAGTAAATCTATTACCAAAACTTTTTTTCTTTTTGTTGATTTCTGAACTGAAAATGGCTAGTAGCAGGCTTGTAGAGTGTGACATGGATGAAGAAGAAAGAGAGGGGAGCATCATCCGAGCATGGAAGCTGATACTGGAGACCTATCAAGATGCGCAGCTGATTATAGTCAAACTGGACTGATGGATGTTTGTGACAGTAGACACAATAAATTGGATAAACAATCAATTTGGAGCAGTGAGAAATGTAGATGCAAGAAGTCTTGAATTGCACAAAGATCCAAGGAAGAGCATATTTTGTGAAGAATTAACACTTTTTAAAATATGGCATTTCATACTTTTGGTGTATCAGAATGTGACAAGTCCTGATAGTAAGTACGTTTTCTTCATCTTTTATAGGGAGTAAAAGTATGTCTAGAGACCATACTTGCAAGATTTCCTACCCTTTTTTAGTTAGACATTTGATAGAGAGAACTTTTCCTCTTCAAATAATCATTTTTATTATCTATGATAGGTGAAATTGCTTATCAATTTTACCTGATACTGCGAAATTGCTTTGGGTTCATAAACAAATCATAACAGTAAAATCTAAATGATGATCTTATTGTTAAAGGTTTTATATAAGAATAGGTACTTAATACAAATGAAACAACGTATATTATTGAAATTTTCATCAGTATTGAGTAAATTAGACAATTGTATTCAATATTGTGGTCGTATTATAATTTTTCTCTTCTCTAATTCGCCTACGCTGCCATTGAAGTTTTAACAAAAATGTCATACAATTCTAACAACTAGAGTTGTCAACAATTGAACTTGGTACTGACTAGTATTATTATTTTTTTTTTTTTGTCAAAGATAACAGTAGCATTATTCTCAAAGATATGTGTAAATTCCATCTTATCTTGCTAATGTCAAGAGCCTAATCTTCAAGACAAAAAATTTATTAAAGCCGTTAAATTAAGTATTTGTACTAAGATTTTTATTTTCCTCTTTCTTTCAAGTAAGGTGGGGAGAGATGAGCAATCCATAGCATTCTTCAATCTTCGATTTAGAGAATTGGAGTCTTTTCTTTAAGGGTGCGTTTGATAAAATTGAAATTTAAAATTTGAAATCTGAAGTCTGAAATCTAAATCCATTAACTACTGAATTGTTAAATACTAAATTTGATACATTTAAATGTATATCACATTAAGTGATAAGTGAATAACTTATCACTTATTTTTTAGAACAAGTTTTGCTTTGGAAATTCATTGCCACTTAATTAATCCATGTGTTTTAGTTTTAGTTATCGAACGCATCTGAACATAATTTAAGTGCTAAATTGGATTATCAAATAGAATTCAAGTTTAACAGAATTTCAACTAAAAATCAATAGGTTCATTGAGCTAACATAATTTGCTAATAATAATAATAATAATAATAATAATAATAATTTCAAATATTATTCAGAGAAATGAGACATGAGCCTTTAGTCTTCATTCTCCAGTTGAACTTAGACGTTTTAGACTTTTAGTGGAGCGCTTCTTTCAGGTAAAAATAAATTTCAGTAAAGCATTTAAATAACTATAGAAAACATATTGATTCCTATGCTGTTGAACCTCTCAGTAATTATCGAAGAACCTTTTGCAATGGTATCCTGCCAAGAGATTCATAATCCATGCTATATTGCGTGTTGAAAATCATACATAAAAAAAAACCTTGCCCAATCCTACAAAAATCACAATACTGTAGTACATATAATCAGTTAACTTCTGGTTTTCGTGGAGTACAACTGTTTGACCCATTTCTTTAGCCCAAAATAAAATTTATAAGTAGCAAAAGAAACTGACCATATGATCAAAACAGTAGGGCATAATACACTTTGCCCTCATGTAATTTAACGTTTTTTTTGCATAATCTCCCATATGGTTTCAAAGTTACGCATACCCTTTTCATGATTTGGATGAAAATGTCAAAATAACAGAATTTATATTCTAGGGTTAATTCCACTTTGTCCCCCCAAACTTTGGACGATTACCCACTTAAGTCCCTAAACTTCAAAATGAGACACTTAAGTCCCTAAACTTATAAATACCTCTCACTTAAGGAAAATTGTTAACAAATCCTGAATGCCGTTGGTGGTCGAAGTGTCCTATTTTATAAGGGTTTAGGGATTTAAGTATCCCATTTTATAAGTTCAGGGACTTAAGTGGGAGGTATTTATAAGTTTAGAGACTTAAGTGTCCCATTTTGAAGTTTAGGGACTTAAGTAGATAATCGTCCAAAGTTTGGGGGGACAAAGTGGAATTAACCCTATATTCTATAATGGAGTCAACTAAAATGTTAACAGTATCTCTATATAAAGTTGAAAATTATTTATTAATCACGGAAGTTTATGTATATAATTTAAAAATTATAAAGGGATTATATGGTAAAACATTAAATCATAAAAGAGTTATATAATAAACCATAAAATCATACGAGGTTAAAGTATCATACATATTATATATTTTGGTCATTTTAATCATTTTAATTTTAAACAAGAGTAATTTTGACATTTTCATGGATTCCATTACCAATGATCATTTCCGTCACTTTGATACTTTAATTTAGAGTATGAGATGGTAATATATAGCTTTTAAAGCTATAGAGAAGTTTTGTAAAAAAATTGCTAAACTACAAGGGGTCAAGTGTATTTTGCCCAAAATAGTAATACTAGATTCAATCTAATGAAATCCTCTATGGATTGAAATTGCAAAAACCCTTTTCCCTTGGCAAGCCGGGACTTTCTTATTTACAAGGGATTCAATTCTGCAATTGCTTAACTCGAGCTGAAATCGTATTGCACCATGAACTTTCAAATCAAACAGGAGAACGATGCCGCCTACTCAAAACCATTAAAACTATGTTGAACAGAGTTTGAGACAAGGACTACTGCAGGTGGCAACTCTCCAAAAAGGTTGACCGTCATGATTTGGTTTAAAAAAAATATTAGGATCAAATCACATCTTGTAAATAAATTTTAACACCATTTATGAGGTCCATAAAATTTTATTCTATATTTATAAGTCGCTGAAAATAAGTTACATTCTAAATAAAGTGAGTTATATTCTGTGCAAATGAAACAAAATTGGCCCAAATAATTTTTCTGACAACCATTTGGATCCTTGGTCCATGGTAAACTTATTACAATACATAGAGAGGGCTTCTCTTATAGACTATATATCGCTGTACACCATTACACTAATAATTGAGTCTGACTTGTGAGGTTGGCAACTGTGGTCCATATATAATATAATTTTCATAAGACATACTTGGTTTCTAAAATGTCCTTCACATTTTGTTAAATAAATTATTTCATCCTTCACTTTTAAAATAATAACTTTATATTTCATACAAAATCAAATCAGTAAAATTTGGTTCCAATCGAGATTTTTTACCACATTTTATCCTAAATCCATCATGTAACCCATATGCAATCATTATTTATGTATGGAAAGGCTGATCAGTTGCATGGTAAAAAATTACTCACTAATGTACGAGGAGAGTCTCTGATGCCACATCATATATTTGCACTTATTAGTGTAAAAAATTTTAACATTGATAGTGTATACAATATTAATTCTATATATTTATTAATTCAAAGAATTATTGGATTAGAAAATTCAATGTGCATTCATATACATAGATCAAGAAAAGAAAATAAAAAGTGCAAGGACAATTGTATATCTTTCATATTGTAGGTTTCGAGCTTATATGTCTTGATTGGGTTAAGGTTGTGGTTTTTGATATAGATTTGAATCAACTATCGTAATATAGAGGGCAAAGATTATGGTTAGATTAGTAGATGCCCTTATATCCTTTTCAAGTGGTCTACTTGAATTTGTTTAATAAGATTGGATCCGAAATAGAGGATGAACTACATTCAACACAGGATATGGTATTAAGAAGTCGGTGACGTTGAATTAGAGTAAACTAAAATTAAGAAAGGACTTCACTTAAAAGTGTCAATAGTCTTTGTTTTGGCAAACCTTAGGAGAGATAAATATAGTTGATCGATATGATTAGAATAATATACCATCCAAATCTATTGTCAGTTGAGGTACCACATATGTTACATTTATGCATTCAAATCTACCAATTGTGATGCTTTAACAGCACATTCTTGATTATGTAAATAGTTATCTAATTTTTTTATGCTTTGAGGGATAATTTCTAAAAGTTAGTTTTTTTAAGAGTAAAATGTCCTTTTTTTTCTTTTTTTTTTTTGAAATATAAATTCTAGCCATATATAGATATGTGAGTTTGCTTTAGTAATATAGCGATTTAGTAATATGCGTTTGGTTCCCTATGGAATTGGGGTTTAGAATTGGAATTGGGCCCTAATTCCAATTCCATTGTTTGGATTCTGCTCCCCTCAAAGAATTAGAATTGAATCTGAATTCTATAAGAGTCCAATTCCATGAATTGAATTCTTTACCGGATCAAAAGAATTCTAATTCTAATTCCACAACTAAACGGGTCCATACGCGGATCTAATACGGGCCAAAAATTAAAATCGGGTCAAGGATATTGGCAGCCCCTCAATTCCTATCTAACTCACCGTTTTTCCTCAGCCACTAGTGCTCTGCTCTCCACCATCGCTTCCACCTGCAACCCTAATATTTTCATATTAGAGAAGTGGACGGTAGAGAAAGGAGCCATTATGGCTAAATCTTTCTAGTCTTGAGATTCACTACTGTCAAAGATTAACCATGATTCCGGCCCGAGGGATTGAGGTTCATTGGTTCACTCATAAAGTGTTGGCAATCCGTGAAGAATTTCAGAACAGGGTTCGAGGAGAGGATTTCGACAAAATCTGCCACAATATTCCTTCAGTAAGGATCCTTCCACCTCTAAATCGTATTTTGATACAGATACGTCTTGAACAAAGCTTTAATCCTGGAAGCCTTTCATTCAGTGATGTAATTTTTTCCGCCTTCTTCTATTTCCCATTGTTCTTGTTTAACTCCATTTTATAGCTTCATCTATCAGAATATATAGTGAGTACTACACTTTTTATCGTTTACCTGCTCCTTCCTTCCTACTCGAATCCATGTTCTGAATACTGTGAGATCCAAGCTGCTTTTCGTATTTGCTACTGCAGATGATGCCAAAGAATCTGTAAAGAAGGGAATTCGCTTGAGGTGAAAACCTTCTGAAGTTTTTTGACCATGGGCTTATTTTTTGCTTATCTCTGCTGCAGATTGCTGTTAGTTATCTTGATAATTGATATTTTAACCTTTCTGGTCAAGTTGTGCATTTCTTAATGATTGAAGGCCTGCTTTTGTTTCTGCTTCCTCTCACTAATTTGTTCTATTGTGACTGGAGTGGGTTTGAATTCAGTTAGTTAAATCGAGTCCAAGTTGCTTCCTCTCACTAATTGAATTGAGGGTTGATATCAAAGTGGGTGGCATATGATTCTAGGTAGTCAATGAATTGTTTCTTGGTGGCGTAATCAGGGTAATAATCAGGGAAGGGGAACTTATTAGCTATCCCGAATAACAAGACAGAAATGAAACCATATCCA